CCTTGACCACAATCATTACGTTATCATTTTATTTAAGACACTATATGTCATATGTACAGTGATTTTGATTAATATTCGAACACCTTCCAAAACACAATAACTTGTTTAGGATTGGACTAAACTGCTTAAATATTTTTTAGATGATAGAGGAAACAGTCTACTATAGACCATAGCTAGAATGCTTTTTTAAAGCATTCGATTTTGATAAAATTTTGAGCATTCATGTAACTTGCTGAGATATACGAAACGCATTTTTTAAATTGTCACTGTATGTAAACGGCGGAAAACACTTTGGGATTAAGAAAGTATTCGAAGATACTCATAAACTAATATGGAATGTTTTATAATATCAAGGTCCCAAATTCTTTCAATATTATTTTTGTATTGAGTGTATCTACTTATATTTATTTTGTACAAATTGATAAGACGTATATTATTGTATTTAACGTAATTTTAGAAAATAATGCTTTTATTCAGTAAGTATATTGGGCGAATCACGCAACTATAATAAGCTACATCTTTGTTTTGGTTCGAGTTAGGGAAAAATATTAAAGGAGAAAAATGAATGGTTTTATGCGAAAACGTCCTAAAGTGAAATAAATAGTTCTCCTGTAGATTGACGCGGTGAGGTCATTTGTAATATAATAAGACCATATAGAAAGATTGATACTTCCTAGTGATAAATTGCATAAACCTTTTTACGCGGGTAAAAATCGATAGAGGCAATTTTTATTTTCCATAAAGATCCGCAAGCTAGTAATAACTATAATTGTATTCAATTATTACTGCTAGGCATACTACTGGTGTCAGATTCGTCATATATTCCTGATACTTTTGATAACTTTTTCACTATCGGTGATATTATGTTCACTTATTAATATTGTATTAATTTATTGGTAAAACCACTATCATTCAGACGATAGAAAAATTGCGTCAGAAAAGAATCACATGGTTAATAACGATTCGGTGAACCGTACAATTCGGATAGCTGATTAGGGGCAATGACATGACCATGAAATTATCTTTCCACGCGTTGTGAGTTCACGTCGATAATACGTGTACTCGACGAACTGTCGGAGGTAAAATCGTATTTTTGTACTTAAGTTCATATCATTAGCAACTCATTCCCATTGGTAGCCAGCCAAGATAGGTGACTAACCTTGTAATCAAGAACTCAAATAGGAAAAGAGAAGTAGCGTTGGGAATAAGTGCTTTGATAACGCCGTGACTATGCTACATTTACGTTATCATTCAAAATGTGGTGAATGAACTTGCCTTTTTCTGTGAAGTAAAACGGATGTTAAAACATTATCTATCGGTAACGATTTCATAACTTTTGAGTCTAGACTTTTTATACAAAAAGTTTAGATTATTACACAAACAAAATTTTAAGATTTCTCTTAGTAGGGTTATGCCAGGATTAGGCCACACTTCAAAAATGTAATATTATTATATATTAAAATGCAGCATAATTTCTATATTTTACTTTGTGGTATTTGAAAATTTTGGTTTCGTAACATATAATGATACATAGGGTGTTCCAAAAGTTACTCAT